TGATCCTTCCCGATGTTCATGATATTGTTCTCTTCCATAATGTTTTTCATGATCTTCTTCCTATTGGTGTTCTCTTCTGTTGCATTGACAGTCCTTTCCATGGAGTACCATGTGATGAACCTTAAATGTGGTTATGACTCCTGATTGGGGGCAAGTAGATCAGTACCTTTAGTGTTTAAATCATGGGGTTCTGCGTGGCCAGTGGCATGGTCCAGTATCAAAAGATTTTAAAAGGCAATCCCTTACTGGCAGGGATTACCCCTGACATCTGGGACCAAACCATTGATGGAACCAATCCAGAAAAAGGGTTCTTTTTTTTTTTTTTTTTTTTTTGAGACAGAGTCTCGCTTTGTTGCCCAGGCTAGAGTGAGTGCTGTGGCGTCAGCCTAGCTCACAGCAACCTCAAACTCCTGGGCTCAAGCAATCCTCCTGCCTCAGCCTCCCGAGTAGCTGGGCCTACAGGCATGCGCCCACCATGCCCGGCTAATTTTTCTATATATTATATATTAGTTGCCAATTAATTCTTTTCTACTTATAGTAGAGACGGGGGTCTCGCTCTTGCTCAGGCTGGTTTCGAACTCCTGACCTTGAGCAATCCACCCGCCTCGGCTCCCAGAGAGCTAGGATTAGGCTTGAAGCACAAAAAAAAAAAAAAAAAAAAGTGAAACAATAGGAAACAGATGCAAACCATGTTTTGAACTGCAACCTAAGAAAACCAATTGAAAAGAATACATTTGGGACAACTGGGGAACTTCAATATAGAATGAATGAATGTTACGAACTATTAAATTCTAGGATTCTAAAATTATGGCAGAATTACCACAATGAAAGGACTAAAAGTGTCATAGAATCTAATTCACATCTCGTGTTTGGATTGCCTCCTATAATAATGAACAATTTCTCTATCTATTAATAGGGAATTTCTCAGCTCCCGAGACAATCCATTCATTCCAAACCAGCTCAACTATAACCATTAGAACTTCCTAATGAACAATGAGGTAGAATGATAAATAAATAAATAAGTGAAATACTGTCTATAAATAGGAGTAGGACCATTTAATAAATGCTGCTGTCTACTGCCCTTGTTTGGAAGGGAGTCGATCTTGACACCAAGACTACCAAAACCTGAAATTGTATACATTAATCAAAAGAAAGCAAACACAACTTATTCATAAGAATGCGCCTGATAAGCATTCTGGATAAGATATTCTTCTAAATAAATACATAGCATCTCCTGGAATGTCTTTTCAGAAATCTTTCAGAATTGAAAATGCCTGCTAAATTATTCCCTAAGGAATTATTCCCTAATGAATATACAATGTACATTTCTATTCAACTCTTACCCTGTAATAAATGTACTTACCTCCTGTGCATCTCTTGCTGCCTTTGCATCATCCTCATTATAACGGTTACAGTTGTACCTTAAAATAAATTAAGAGAATTCCATAAAGAAACAAACCAATGAAAAGGAACAAAGTTTTAACCCGGATTTAGAAATTACCTAAAACCAACATTCTCTTTTATAACAGAAAAACTGATATGTTAAAATAGCCAGGGTTCCACTGTTATAATGATAGAATTAGCAGGCTGGAAGGACCTGAAAGTGTTGCTGAATCTAATGTACACATAGTGTTTGAATCCTCTCTTTAACAGTGGGATCAGTTCTCTACTTGGTAATAGGAAATTTCCCACTTCCTGAGGCAGTCCACTCCAAAACAGCTGATCTGTATTAACCATTAGAAAACATGGTCATTCTAGAACTTTCACTGACCACAGTCTGAATTTCTAACTCAAGTTTTTAAGGAAGAGATCATCTTATTTCCTAGGTCATCTGTTACTTAGGCCAAATATTCCCAACTTTCCACAGTTATAAACTTTCTTATCTGCTCTTTCATAAAAACCAAAGAGAATCAATAGTTGATGGTTTACCCAAAACAGATGCTGTGCTATGTGCTTTACATGCTATTATAGTTTATTAAGAGTCATAAAGGCCAGGTGCAGTGGCTCACTCCTGTAATCCTAGCACTCTTGGAGGCAGAGGTGGGAAGACGGCTTGAGGTCAGGAGTTCCAGACCAGCCTGAGCAAGAGCAGGACCCCCATCTCTATTAAAAATAGTAAAAATAAGCTGGGTGTGGTAGTGCATGCCTGTAGTCCCAGCTACTTGGGAAGCTGAGGCAGGAGGATCATTTAAGCCCAGGAGTTTGAGGTTACTGTAAGCCAGGCAGATGCCATGGCACAATAGCCCAGGTGACAGAGCAAGACTCTGTCACACACACACAAAAAGGCACTGAAAATTGAATGAATGATAGGCAGGGTGCTGTGGCTCGTTCCTGTAATCCTAGCACTCTGGGAGGCTGAGGTGGGAGGACTTGCTTGAGCTCAGGAGTTTGAGACCAACTTGAGAAAGAGCGAGATTCCATCTGTACTATAGAAAGACATTAGTCAAAACAACTAAAAATAGAAAAGATTAGCTGGGCATAGTGGTGCATGCCTGTAGTCGCAGCTACCCGGGAGGCTGAGACAGGAGGATCACTTGAGCCCAGGAGTTTGAGGTTGCTGTGAGCTAAGCAGACGCCATGGGACTCTAGCCTAGGCGACAGAGTGAGACTCTGTCTCAAAAAACAAACAAAAAAACCTGAATGATATACAAAATGCCACATGCCCAAAGACACCAGCACAGAGTGGAGATGAGTGAGACTGGCACTTCCCTTGTCTTGGCTACCGTATCTCTTTTATGGGAGCCCTACATTATGGGAGCAGCTATTTACTGAGCTGCTTACTACATACCAGCACTTGCTAAGAACTTTAAATGTATTAACATATTTAATCTCTTCAAACACCTTATGAAATATGTATTATTGTCCTGATTGAGCAGATAAAGAATAAGATTTAAATATGATAAGTAACATACTTAAGGTCACATAACTAGAGAATTTCAGAGTTGGGAAGTAAACTTTTGCTTGTCTGCCAAATGAGGCTCATGCTCTTAGCCAACAGGCATACTGCTCACGTTATTGTTATGTCTTCAGAATCTTTTAATGGCGATCATTTTAGATCTAAAGGAAGAATTCTGAGTTTAATTTAAATCTTGTCAAATTGGAGCTGTTTCAGTTTGTCAAGTTCTTCAGGATTTAGGAGTTAAAGAGATATCAAATATCTTTTTTGATATTAACCAAAAACATGTTTAAGATTCTAAAACAATTCTTCAAGCAAATTATCAATAAATCTGACCAGGAAAGCAGTATATACTTAATACATTAGGGAAAAAAAGATGAGAATACCATCTTTCACAGACAGCCTTTAAAGCATTTCATAAGGAATACACAAATCCATTATATGTACTCCAAAAAATGGTCAATCAATGCCAAATAACCATGCTTTATATTCATTGCCTAGACCACAAACTTCTCAGTCCACACTGAAATACCTTGCTAAAATCTAGAAAGCATCCCAATACCTATCATTCTAGTGGTACCATCTGATTCTGGTATTTCACATGAGAAAAATTAAGTTATGTGGTTCATATGTAGTTTGTGGAACCAATCACAAATTTTGGAAGTTTGGGATTACATTTTATGCCATCAGTACCAAAGGTATTTCTATTTTACATATTAGTCAGAAATAACCAAAAATGGCCCACTGATTTCATTTTAACGTTTTTAAAGTAACCTAGATAGCAATTTGCTTGGGTTGGGAAATTTATTAATTTCCGCTTGGCTGGGATTATAAACCTCTCTTGGCAATAATTACTATACTCAGCCTAGCCCTAAGATTGATTCCCTTGACCTTTATTTGTAAATTATTAATCTCTCTTCTTCCTATCTGATATATTCTTAAAAACTTTCCTTCTGATATATTTTTTCACATTATCTAGAAGACTCAACTCATTTGAACTTTACCTTGCCAACATTAAGGATTTTAAGGCCAAGAAGGCAAATATTTAGGATTCATCTATACTACTAACTCAGATGACTGATAGCGCTACTTGGAATGCTATCTTGAGGATTGTGAAGCATGGTTCACTGCAATGTCAGCATGGGTAAAGGCAAGACACAGGCAGGACTTCTGACACCCCTGGTCCAAGTTATTCTTCATTCTTGTGTATCCATCATTTGTTCTGTACCCTTTGTAGGTATAAATATAGCTTACTTAAAATCTGAGCTACAATTAGAGATGTCAATAAACAAACATATACTAGGTTGGTGCAAAAGTAATTGTGGTTTTGGCATTGTTGAAATTTGCTGTTTGGTATTGGAATGTATTCTTAAATGTGGTTATGCCATACATCATTTTAATGTACATTTCTCGCTTTATTTTTTTGCTAATGGCTTATTATTTGCTCTTTATTTTATAATTATTTTAGACTACGGAAATGATGTTAGACAGAAAGCAAATTTGAGCGACTTTCTTATTAGAGTTCAAAATGGGCTGGAAAGCAGCGGAGACAACTTGCAACATCAACAACTTGCAACTGCTAAGAAACATACAGTGTAGTGGTGGTACAAGAAGTTTTGCAAAGGAGACAAGAGCCTTGAAGATGAGGAGTGCAGTGGCCGGCCATCATAAGTTGACAACAACCAATTGAGATCACTGAAGCTGATCCTCTTACAACTACATGAGAAGTTGCCGAAGAACTCAACATCAACTATTTTAAGGTCATTTGGCATTTGAAGCACATTGGAAAGGTGAGAAAGCTCAATAACTGGGTGCCTCATGAGCTGACCAAAGATAAAAAAAAAAATCATTCTGAAGTGTTATCTTCTCTTATTGTACGGAATGAACTATTTCTCAATCTGATTGATTGTGATGTGAGATGCAAAGTGGATTTTATATGATAATCAACAACAACCAGCTCAGTGGCTGGACTGAGAAGAAGGTCCAAAGCACTTCCCAAAGCCAAACTTGCACCAAAAAAGGTCATGGTCACTGTTTGGTGATCTATTGCCAGTTTGATACACTACAGCTTTTTGAATCCCAGTGAAACCATTATAGCCAAGAAGTATGCTCAGCAAATCCATGAGATGCGCTGAAAACTGCAACGCCTAAAGCCGGCACTGGTCAACAGAAAGGGCCCAATTCTTCTCCAGGACAATATCCGACTGCACATCACACAACCAACACTTCAAAAGTTGAATCGGGCAACGAAGTTTTGCCTGGATAGTCATCTGACCTCTCGCCAACGACTACCACTTCTTCAAGCATCTCAACAACTTTTTGCAGGGAAAACGCTTTCACAACCAGCAGGATACAGAAAATGCTTTCCAAGAGTTCGTTAAATCCTGAAGCAAGGATTTTTATGCTACAGGAATAAACAAACTTATTTCTTGTTGGCAAAAATGTGTTGATTGTAATGGTTCCTATTTTGATTAATAAAGATGTGTTTGAGCCTAGTCATAATGATTTAAAATTCACGGTCCAAAACCCCAATTACTTTTGCACCAACCTGTTTAAAAAGTACAAGGTGAATTTAATTTCTGGGAACATACTAATCCTCCAGTTTGCCTTCTTAAAATCTAGAGTACCTGCCTGGCTAAACCCCAAATACCCTTTATTGGCTCTGATAGTGGCACAATTTCTTCACTTCTACTTGGTCAACCAGTTCTTACCTGTCTTAGAATTAATTTCAGAGAAGTAACCTCTCTATTATTTTAATTAACACAACTAATGAAAGTTCCAACAAAACTAAAAAGACTCGTCGTTGTTTTATGTTCAGATCTTCTTCATCTTGTCTTAAACCTGTAATCTTTTTCCTCCCATAAATCCTCTATAAAGCAGTCAAAATAAAGAGATAACGTATGCAAAGCACATGATACAGAGCGTTCTCATCTAAATTATAGCTCTAACCATGTCATTCCCACTTAAAATCCTTCTGATAATATCCAGACTACTTTAGGCCCTAGCCTACTTTCCTATTCCCCACAACCACCCAGGGGACACAAACGCCAATAGGTGAAGGCATATCATATAACACAAGTAAGTGAAGTGGGTCATTTGCATATTATATAAAAACACTCAGAAATATTTTTGCTTTTATGAGGAAATGTATTAGCTACCATGTTCCTCAAAACTTAAAGCATCCTCAGTCTAACTTGCATTTTCCCAAACTAGCAAAAAATACACAAGCAATAAAGGTATGTTATCACTACTAAATGAAAAACAATGGTGCCGTGTGGTTACATGCAAATAATATTAAACTTCAGTCTTGGGGAAACATACCGAAGTGGAAAGTAAAGGCCCCATTTAGATGACTGCTACTCAGTTCTAGGTGACTGCTGCCAAACAGGAATGTAAGCCTGCTCCTAAGTTTCAGAGAAAAGCTAAAAATATGGATTTTGTTGGGCAATTTCCCAATTTTGAAGTTTGGGAATAACTTTCTAATGATGTACACGCAGTAAATAAAACACACCTTGCAGTTTGGGTTTTGCCAACAGCCTCCTACTTTTCAACTTTTGCCTAGAGAGACATATTTGAAAATGCACCTCTTTTCTGAAAAAGTCATGTACTTTCATATCACTCTACCTTTCCTCACGTTGCAACTTTTTCATTTCCTACTACTTTTTTAACTAATGAACTCTTCCTCTTTCTTAAAGTTCATCTCAATTGCTACCTCCTCTGTGAAATATGCCTAACTAATCCCTGTCTGTGAATATCTTGCATATAAAACACTGATCACACACTGTATTTATTTAGCTCCCAAGTTGGATGGTAATCTCTATAAGGTAGAAATCTTATTCATAATTTGTGGCACATATTGCATACTTATGTGAACATATTCTTCTCCCTTCATTCCCCAACCTACCAGGCAGATCCATGTGGTTCCCAAGGGCCAAGACACACCCAGCAAAACTCTGCTTTACAGTTCTGGTTACGACAGACCATGTGATTACAACCGCCATCCTTCTCAATTGTGACATGGCATTTGGGACATTCCTATGAAGAGAAACTATAAAGTTGGTGTCAATGCTACACTAGGTTGTATTACTACCATTGAGGAGAAGCCAGTTCCAGATTCAGTTTATTTTTAAATACCATATTTATTGTGGTTAATACATGTAAAGCACTTAGAACAACGTCAAACATTTAATAAGTACTACTAAGAATGAGCTGTTGGTCAGGCACAATGGCTCACACCTGTAATCCTAGCATTTTGGAAGGCGCAGGCATAAGGATTGCTTGAGACTAGCCTGAGCAATATAGCAAGACCCAGTCTCTACAAAAAATATAAAATTTCACTGGATGTGGTGGCACATGCCCAGAGTCCTAGCTACTCAGGAGGCTGAGGCAGGATGATCCCTGAGCCCAAGAGTTTGAGGCTGCAGTGAGCTATGACTGCACCACTGCACTTGAGCCTGGGTGACGGGGGGGGGGGGGGGGGGGGGGGGGGGCGCGGGCACGTGCCTAGTACCATTATTATTACTAACTTTAAAACCACAACAATTTAAGGATTTTTTTTTTTTTAATTTAGAGATTAAGTCTTGCTATGTAGCCCAGGCTAGAATGCAGTGGCTATTCACAGACCCAATCAATCATAGGGCACTATACCCTTCAACTCCTAGAATCAAGCAATCCTCCCACCTCAGCCTCCCAACAGTTGTGACTATGGGTGTATACCACCGTGCCCAGCTAGAATTTTTTAAAAGTAGGGTTGAGGGACATTTTAAGTACTTTTAATCATACACATGGTACGCATACACATAGTAATAATAGTTTTATGGGAGGGTAAAATTTGTTCATGTAAATATACTTTCTAGTGTCATCTAAAAAAATTATTGAGTACTGCCTATATCCCATGCACTATTCTTAGTGTTTTATACGTATCAACTCACAATTCTTACAGTGGTGCTACTTCCTATTTCCATTTGTTAGATGAATAAACTATGAGAGAGAAAAACAGTAAAGAAACTAGTCCAAGAACATACAGGTAGTAAATGGTAAAGTGAGGATCTCAACCCAAGCAACCTGACCTGAAGAGTCAGGCAAATAGGAAATCAGGCCTCAATTGGTAATTTATTTAGAGGCTATTGAATTTTCCAACTTTCACCTGCCAAATACCCATGTTTTAAGTTCTTTACATTTGGCTCATTAACAATGATGCTACAGACATCATGTTAGATTGTTTTTTCCCCAAGTCCATATCATTTTCTTGGTTGCTAGGCAAGCCAAAATCACTGTCCTACAGGCCTACTGGTTTTTGCTTCTGAAAAATCTAGAAAAATCGGCCTTTTATTTTTTTACTAAAACTATAAATAAGATGTAAATCTTGTATTTTTACTATATTTGCTATAATTGTGCTTGATAGTCTGTAACCCTTACAAGGAGGACACATCACCTACTATATTATTATTTGCATAATTTGACTTTCTTTGTGAGATAGACTGCACTGCCCATAAACTAGCAATGTTAAACAGGCCAACATAGCAATCTTTTATTATATATTTTAAATCAAATTTTTTAAATCACCCACATAAGAAATTTTACCTTTTCCCAAACAAGCAAATTTCAGGCATAAAATATGTTTCATTCTACATTTCTTGGTTATAATTAACCAAATAGTATTAAGCCCTCAAAATGTTCAATAATCTATAAATCTTTTTTAAAAGAGTTAATAACAATCGCTAAATGCTTCTCAAACCTCTTAAGAGAAAAATCCTTCACTTTCATCTAAAAACTATCAAGTAACTAAATTTGTTATTACAAATTGCCATTCTTCCTTGGTAATCTACCATCTAAACAAAACCAAATACATCCAAGCCTGCTTCCTATTTTAATCATGCTGGGGTCTTAAAGTATTTGGAGATTTCTCTAGATATAGAAAGAAGCATATTATTTAATCAACTACCGAAGGAAAATATAACTGCCCTACTATTCTAAATACTAGAGTATTTTTTTAAAGAACACATTAAAGTATCCTGGGACTTTAAAGAACATTTCTGGTGGGAAAATCTTTAATTTTCAAAAAGTAATGCTTGGCTAGGATTTTTTTTTAAATAACAAAAGTAGTAACCACTTCCTGATATTACATATATTTACTAACGTTTTCTTAAGTGACACGGGTTATGCTTATTGTGATGGTTTTAGAAAACACAAAAATATTAATTTCTCCTAGGTATTCCTCAAAGGTTTGGGCATTTGTTTTATGTGACAGGATTCACTGATTCATTGATAATACTTTCTGGGAGACAGAAATGTATACTTAAGCTTTAAATATAAGTATGTATGATATATACTTAAAATTGTGTGTTGGCCTTCATCATTTAAGCATGTCTTACTCTTATCATTATCCTGTATTGAGTGAAGGACAGTGCGAAACTATAATACTACTGGTCAAACTCAGCATTCTTTATAGTATCATCTTCACATGCGAAAGACAATACCAAAAATGAATAGTTCATTAATCATCCTATCATTCATTAGTACCGTCCCATATAGGATTGCTATTGATATAATTTTTTTTTTTTTTTTTATGGTTTAGTGATTACTTCACTAAGTTAAAATATACTATTACTCACTCAAAGAAGCCTTTCCTGAGTTCCCACATTCTAGTTGTAGATCTCTCTCAGTTCTTTCTCTTTCTTCTTCTTTTTTTCTTAAAGAGACAGCGTTCACTATGTTGCCAGGCTAGACTTAAACTCCTGGCTAAAAAGATCTTCCTGCCTCAGCCTTCTGAGTGGTGAGGATTACAAGTGGCTTTCCTTCTTAGTTCGCATGGCACCTTCAACATCTCCTTTATAGAATTTCTCATAATTTATTAGACAGTTATCTGTATTATCATTTAATATCTGTCTTCCTGTTCTCCTATCCCCAATCAAACAGTAAGCTCCATGAAAGGATCCCCTATGTCCAGCACAGTGCCTGGCCAGTATAAAGTGTTCGAGTAAATATGTTTAAATGAGAAAACCTCCAAATTTCACAGATGTTGGAACTGTGGGTCTAAAATAATTAGTGCATGTGGGGTTCCTCAAGAAGTTAAGCATGCATTACCATATGACACAGCAATTCCCCTCTGGAGTGTTACATACTCAAGAAAATTAAGACAGGTGTTTAATCAAAAACTTGTACACAAATTTTCATATAACAACACAAATGTTTCCACAAAAGTAAAAACATCCTATATGAAACATGTATTTAGCAATAAACGAAGATGAAGATACTTACTTTTTGTATTTTTTTTAACCCTAATGAATATTGAAACATGGAATATTTGATGATATGTGGAGTCCCATGCCTAAGGTGCTCTTTGTTGTTGGTGTGGTGTGTTGGTGTGTTTTTTTAGTATGATTTTTTTTATTTATGTAATTCTCTTGATAACGTGTTGTGCATATAATTATGATAGAACGATGGTAAGTGCGCGTTGCGTTAGGTCTGAAGAGAGTAAAGGGTATATGTTTGTATTATTTGTTTAAGGATAGGTGATGAAAAGTATTCTGGAATTAGGTAGTGGGTGATAGTGCGAGCAAAATTATGCTGTATTAAAAGCACCCAGGGCGGGTGCTCGGCCGTGTTAGATGCGCTAGCACTTGACCGAGCGTGGCGGAGGATTACTGGAGCGTGCAGGATTGGAGACCAGCGCTGAGAAAAGTGAGAATGCCGTTCGTTTAGCTAAAAAA